CACTTAAGCCTTGAGCATAGTTCAGTAGGCAGCAAACCAGGAACTGTCCTGGCAGATAAGACAGACTGTACAAGGTCATTGTCATCGTCATGGGAAGGGCATTAATTACTAAAGTTGAGACACAGTCACTGTCTCCAAGAGCATTTGGAATCACTTCACAGGGTTCTCAAGGAGGGGAAGGGTATCTGTCAGCTCCTGGCAGGATTGCTGCCCTATATACTGTGATGAATTACTTAACATATCTGAGTTCTGAAGGGAAGGAGGCCAAGTGCGATAGCTGTAGAGAACGCTGGGGAAGCCTCGTTCTGTGCAGCTCACACATGAAAGGAATATTCATGAAGAGCAAAACAGAGGCATTATTTGAGATTAACTGCCTAAGAAACCTAGTCCAAATCCAAGTGTCTGGAAAATGTTGACTACTTGCCATGTGCCTACAAGGTGCTTGGAACTTATATATATTCTCTCATTTAACCCTATGACATAGTTATGCTGGTACACTTTGCTCCATTCTATAAATGAAGAAGTTGAAGCTCAAGAAAGTTGAAAGAAAGGAAAAGAAAAACTCATGTAACATCAAACAACTAGTAGAGACCAGATCTGAACTGTTATTTAGCACCAAAGCCAGCCTTTTAAGCCCATTCTATTACATAAAATACATAAATGTGTTTTATCCCATCATTTCAACATAGACAGGAAAACAGAATAGGACCATTGTAAAAAATAGGCAGCAAGAATACAACTCAACTCGTAAACAAGATGCCCATGGAAGTAAACCCCCAGCATGGGGTACCATAAACTTAGGAGGTCAGAATGAAGCAAAAACAAGCAATGGTAAATTCAGTGAAAGAAAAAGCACTTTCCTAATCTCCAAGTGTGTTAGTCCATTCTCACAGTGCTATAAAGAACTACCCAATATGGGGTAATTTATAAAGAAAAGAGGTTTAATTGGCTCACAGTTCTGTGTGGCTGGGGAGGCTTCAGGAAACTTACAATTATGGCAAAAAGCAAAAGGGAAGCAAAGACCTTCTTCCCGTGGCGGCAGGAAAGACAGAATATGTGAGCGCAGGAAAAACTACCATTTATAAAACCACCAAATCTTGTGAGAATTCTCTTAACTATCACCAGAACAGCATGGGGGAAACCACCCCTATAATCCAGTCAGTTCTTTCCCTTGACACATGGAGATTACAAATCAAGATGAGATTTGGGTGGGGACACAGCCCCGAACCACATCACCAAGATATATCAGAGCATTCCTCAACAGTAAGCAGTTTGAAGACGCAAGTCGTAGAGTGATGGCTCTAAGGCAAGCCAGAAAGTCAGAAAATTTGATGACCAGTTCACCTGACTTTGAAAACTGCTTGACTATTAAAACCTAAAATATTTATTTCTGAATCAGAGAACTTGGGGATGAGTATATACATATTGGAGGTGATTTGGATCTGAAAACTTTTTTTTTTTTTGAGATGGAATTGTGCTCTTATTGCCCAGGCTGGAGTGCAATGACATAATCTCAGCTCACTGCAGCCCCTACCTCCTGGGTTCAAGTGATTCTCCTGCCTCAGCCTCCTGAATAGCTGGGATTACAGGCATGTGCTACCATGCCTGGCTAATTTTGTATTTTTAGTAGAGATAGGGTTTCACCATGTTGGTCAAGCTGGGTCTCGAACTCCTGACTTCAGGTAATCTACCCGCCTCACCTCCCAGTGGATCTGAAAACTTTTAAAAACGAAATGGGACTTGAAAAAATTCAAATTGTTGAATAACTTAAAAAATCTTTAGCTCAACAATATTAATAGTGTATTAAAAAGGTAAGTGACTCCAAGAAAGCCTGCATAACTCACAGGATCCTCTAATCGAGTCAAGAAGGAAGGGAGAGAGAAACTAATCTGAAATAAGCTTGTTCTGCCAAGAGAACTGCCTTTTCTGTCCATGAAATTCTTCATCCCTGGAAGGCAGTGTGAAAGACCCTTCCCTACGTGTGCCTGTGTTGTTCTTCAGCTCTGTTTCTACCAGGACATGCAGTACAAGAGCAAATAAAACCATTTAGAGCCATCGCCAGGTGCATCATTACAGCAAAGGCTGAAAGTATCCTTGCCCCACACTTGGCAAAAATAAGGATGAGTAACGTACAAGTGACCCTAAAGCCCCAGTGTATACTTTGGCTGTTCCCACAATGTCCTGGATGCTTGTTAATGAAAACAGGCCTTTGTCATAGCAACCCCAGTAACTGAAGACATCTGATGCTCCTGCCACACACCCTATCCCCACCCCAGCCCAGAGAGCTATTGCAGTGTTCTTACAGAGCTAGCACAATAAAAATACTTTCTGTTAGCAGGAGTGCTTTTCTGCTACTTGATCTCAATATTTCTCTATTCGTTTCATTCCATAGTTACGTTGATGGGAAATGAATGATCACACCTGCCCTACAATACAGGCAACATTTTAGTGCAGGCCTTAAATGCTTGGACTGTGGACCTAGAGCGTCTGAGTTCAAATCCTGACTCTTCATCCCCTTCCTACCTGTATGACTTGGAGCACTGATGTTTTTCCCTTATCTGTAAAGTAGGAATAATAATGGAAGCTACCTCCTAGGATTACTTAGATTATTACATGAGATTAAGCCTCAGAGGTGCTGAGCACAGGGCTGACACATAAAGTGGGCAGTAGACATTCGCTGCCATTGATATTCTTGGGTTGCTACTTAAGAGGTTTCATTTTGACATTGAGTTTGACAAATGTGAGATCCTGGCCACTTGAAGCTGAAGGACTACCTGTGGTTAATATCCCACAGAGATCGATACAGGTCCCGCTTTTTCAAGGGGGTAGCATGTCCTTGTAAAGGAGGGGTGCATTTTGATTGGGCCATTTCTATATTTTGATTAGGAAATGGATCTAGAGATTACACATTTCTTGAGTAGTGTTATGTGAGTCCCTTTTTCAACATACTCAAAGAAGTAGAATTTTCTCATATTGAGATATGCCTTTGATTGGTATAACTCCAGCAGGAAAGCACTCGTGCATGGCAGGTCCTGGGAAGAGGCCCAGAAGTGATGTACCTGGCGCACCTCCTCCTGGGTGTGGTGTGATTTCTCCCACCCACTTCCGCTTATCTCAAAGATACCAGGGGCATTGGCAGAAAAAAGACGGATCACAGTCCTCCAGCGATGAGTCTAATCACTGCCTGACCTGAACGGGCCAGATATGTTTGCCTTCACTGTTTCAACTGTGAGCAACATAGTGAGGCAACACCCTTGTCTGAAGGAGTTTCTTTGGCGCAGTGATGCCCATATTCAAGGTGTTGAGCATCAATAGACACAGCACTGAGAAGGAAAGGTCTTATTCCTATTGCAGAACTATAAATTATCCTCTCCAGGAAATAGCTGCAACCAAGGCAAGGAAGTGTTCCATAATGAGGCCTCGAGTTTTCTCTGCAGAGTTTTCCAGACTGTGTTAAACAGAAGCAGGAGGCCGCTGATCCTACTTGATAAGTTTCCTTCCTGCTCACATAACCACCTCTCGCTCTCCACGTTCTTCCAGTATATATTATGAGGTCCAGTTTCTTTCATCCTCCCCAAAGGCTGACCCATCAGCCTTACCACAGCGAGTCTCTGGGTAGTTAGGCTCAAATCATGTAATTAACATAAGTCAGGTGTCTGCAAGCTGAGAATTTGTTTACAAATAATAAATTCTGGCTCCTTCCCTCAACTAGGATTTGTGCCTTCTATGTATCTGAAGAAAGCATTGGGTATAGACAGTGGTTAAAAAGTGAATAAACTCTGTGAGGGCAGAGAGCATGAATAAAGTTAATGAGAGAGACAGACATGATGCAAGAAAACCAATAAATATATTATTATACATTTTATTCATGAAGGAATAAAGTAAGACTGATACTAGGAGAGAAAACAACAAGGGGAACCAACTCTGGAATGAATCAAGGAGAGCCTCTCTGAGGAGGTGATATTTAAGCCAAGACTGAAGGAATAGAATCATCCAAGGAAAACTGGGAACTAGGGCATTTCAGGCAGAGGGAGCAGTGAGTGAGATTAAGAACTCTGAGGCAGCCTTGTGCACCGTGTTCTATGAGTGAAGACAGGTAAGAGACGAGGTAGGAGGGGAAGGCAGGGATGCCATCCTGAGGCCCTGGTTTTGTGATTTTATTCCGAATGGATCCTTATGTTAGTCTGTTCTCACATTGCTGTTAAAGACATACCCGAGACTGGGTAATTTATAAAGGAAAGAGATTTAATGGACTCACAGCTCCACATGGCTGGGGAGGCCTTATAATCATGGCAGAAGCCGAAGGAGGAGCAGACATGTCTTACGTGGTGGCAGGCAAGAGAGCTTGTGCAGGGGAACTCCCACGTCTAAAACCATCAGTCTCGCGACATTTATTCACTATCACAAGAACAGTATGGAAGAAACCGGTCCCATGATTCAATTGTCTCCACCTGGCCCTGCCCTTGACACTTGGGGATTATTACAATTCAAGGTGAGATTTGGGTGGGGACACAGCCAAACCATATCAATGCTGGAGACAAAAGCAGAGTAGTGACCATCCAAATGATGTTCTTTAAAGGTCTCTCTAGCCATCGCCTGCCAGGTGGATTTGAAGAAGGGAAGGGAGAGGGCAGAAAACGCACAGGGAGGCCACTGCAATAATCTGGATGAATGGAGGTGGTGACTGGGCCTGGGACTATGGCAGTAGCGAGGGAGAGAAATGGGCAGCTTTGAGGTGTGCTCAAAGCTAAACCAGAAGTTCTTATAGGGGACAAGGAGCAGGAAGGGCCAGAGAAAGGCCTCCCTGTGCCTTTTCAAAACTGATCACACAACTAGTTTGCATTTACCTTTCCTTCTAGGTTGTATTTTACCTTATCCAGAAAGGTGATAAATGTTTCCTTTTTTCACTAGCTTAGTTTTTAGTAAAGCTTAAGGGCCCAGGGCAGTCTTGATTTTGAAGCCAGGGTCCGAAATCTTACAAGTCACTCTTTATTTTACAGCCTACCAGGACATCCTCGGAAAGTATTTATTCTAGACCAGGCTCCAGTATTCCTGGCTCACCAGGTCATACTATCTATGTAAGTATCTACTTCTGGAAGTGACATTTCCGGGACAGGTAAATTAGTGGATTCTAATAGAAAACAAAAACTAATTCAAAGTGATTTCTGATTTTGTTCTGAGATCGGCTTTTCATTTTTGTAGAGCCAAAATTGTTTCCTTTTAGGTAATTACATTTGCATGTGACCATCAACAGAGTGACCGGATGACCTGTAAAACGTCTTACTATGTTGCAGGACTTAAAAAATTCTTGCACCTAAATTGCATATAGATATTTGGGGATTAATTCTGTATTTTATAATGCTGATACTGAGTGTTCTTAAATTCTGCCACAAAGATATTTAAATATTTAGCGTATTAATTATGTAGTTTTTGGTTTTAGCCATCTGAGAGGATTATTGGACCATCTGTTTGAGCTTTTTCCTTCCCTGTCATAAATTCAGGAAATTATCCTTAATGTTTGCACATTTATCTATTTCATGAATTCTACACAGATTTTTTTTCCTAAGTGTTCAGTGACTTAAAAATAAACCACGACTAATATATGGTATAAACAGCAATTTCTAAAGAGTATGACTGTGCTAGGCAAGATGTTTTGGTTTTTGTTTATTTTAAGGCCTGCACTTTTTAAACAACAGGAAATGCGCTAACAACAGTTTCCCAAAGCAATGAGACTACAAAGTAATTGTTCTTTCTGGTTAACTTTCCCAGGCAAAAGTAGACAATGAGATCCTGGATTACAAGGACTTAGCGGCCATTCCCAAGGTCAAGGCAATTTATGACATTGAACGTCCAGATCTTATTACCTATGAGCCTTTCTACACTTCGGGCTATGATGACAAACAGGAGCGACAGAGCCTCGGAGAGGTAAGACATTCCTAGTGGTTGTGAGTTGTACAACAGTTTACCTTCTCTTTTGTCACATTTGTAGTAACTGCTGTCTGGAGTTGAGGTAAATCGGGTGGTCTTTTGTCTGCCTAGTATTTGTAGGTTTCTAGACCAGGTACTTTGAGGTATTCAGAAGCCCATTATGAGAAGTGGGAGAACAGACCAGCTGCAGATAGAACAACAGTGAAGAACAGCTAAGCATTAGCATGCTGGGATGGAAGCTGTCTGGAGGTGTGGGGAGGCGGGGGCGGGGGGCTGTTGAGAAGTGGCTAGGGATTCTGTGAGCTGGGCAGAGCAAATAAAGAAGTGAGGGTCTCCTGGGGGTCTTCGTCTAGTGATAAGCTTTAAGTATATTTATGGGATCATGAGGAGAGAGAACACACCACCTAAATTTTGGTAGCTACAATTTTCAGCAACTTAAGAAAGTTAGAATGTGCAGGAGAAAAAAAGAGAGCATAGGACGACAGTCTAGCACAGGGCTGTGAGCCAGGATTCTGGAACCGAATTACCTGGTTTCAACCCAGGGATCACCACATGCTGATTGTCTGACTTGGACCTTGTGACAGCCATTCTGCCCCTAGTTTCCTGGGCCGGGTACAGCGCTCACACCTGTAATCCCAACATTTTGGGAGGCTGAGGGCAGGAGGATTGCTTCAGGCCAGGAGTTGAAGACCGCCCTAAACAGCATAATGAGACCTCATCTCTATATTTAAAAAAATAAGAAAATAAAAGAAACATGCTCCTATTTTCCTCATCTGTACAACAGATAAGGTAATGGTAGAATCTACCTCATGGGGGGTTGGTGAGGATCAGGCAAGCTAATCTATGTAAAGCAATTAGCAGAGGCCAGACTTGGGGGAAATATTGAGCATCTGGCAATTTCTTCCATTGTTGCTACCTGTCCTCTTGGGGCTTATGAATACTCAGCCCATAGATCCATCCCACTACAGGACCGGAGTCTCTTAGCCCCTTGGGGTCCTCCCCTCTCCAGTCCCATCCCAAGGTTGAAGGTTCTCTGTGGTCACTTCCTACTCAAGCCTGTTTCCCCTGGCTTATCAGCTCACTCTTATTTTTTTCTCTTTTAATTTTTAAAGTAGAATCATCTGTAGACTGATTTGAGTCCACACAGAGATATGTTAACAAATAGCTGACAAATCAACTATCCAACAAAGGTTAAAACAGAAAGTAAACGATCTAGCATCTCACAATGCTTTGAGGTCTTAGAGAAGAAAAGATGTGAAAATAAGATTCTGTTTAATTTGTTCTCAATTACAGATGTATAATATTTATTATTTTGTAATTATATTTATTTGCCATTTTATATATGTTGTTTCTTTTATTTACTTTCTAATCTGGGTTTTTTTATTCCAGAGCATAGCTCGGCGTGGAAAGGGTCTGTGGGGCAGGAAGTGATAAACATTTTCATGTAGTGCCACCTAGTGGTCGCTTAGCTGTAGCTGCACGTGTGGCCACTGAAGCACAGGTGCACTGGCTAGGGTTGTTCAGTTGCCATTGAACCCCACCGAGTTTCGTAGGGGTTAAGAGGCGAGGGGAAGTTCCTGAACAGAGTGCATAGAGATTGGGCTTGGAACCTGTGGATGAGAATTGACTCGTGTTTAGGTCATACAAGCAAGGGGATGTGAGTTTTTTTAATGGTGTTAAGGATTTGGGGTGTGTGGTGTGCGTGTGTGGGTGTGTGTGTGTATTCTTCCCAGCAGCTTTATTCAGGGCAGTAAAACATTAAGCACTCAAGAGTTTGGGCTTTGAGGTGAAAATTTTTGCATTTAAAACCAGACTCTGCCAGACGTGGTGGCTCATGTCTGTAATCCCAGCACTTAAGGAGGCTGAGGTAGGCAGATGCTTGAGACAAGGAGTTCAAGACCAGCCTTAGCAAAACTCTATCTCTACTGAAAAAAAATACAAACATCAGCCAGGTGTGGTGGCACACGCCTGTAGTCCCAGCAACTTGGGAGGCTGAGATGGGAGGATCACTTGAGCCCAGGAGGTTGAGGCTGCAGTGAACCATGATCATGCGTTGTACTTCAGCCTGGGTGATAGAGCAACACCCCGTCTCAAAAATAAAAAGAAAGAAAGAAAGAAAGAAAACCACAGAAACCAAAAACAAAACAGACTGATATTGACTAGCCATATGACTTTGGGTAATTATATGCCTCAGTCTCCTTATCTGCAAACTCAACATAGAAAACAAGAATACCTACGTTAGAAGTTTTCTGTAAAGATTAAGTGAAGCTATTGACATTAGAACAGTACTGTGCATATAATAAGTGCTTAAGAAAAATGCTGGCTACTCTCGTAATCAACACCCTTAATATCATAACGTGGAATGACGTCCCATGGTTTTTCCTATGAATAGAGGGTACCCCTTGGATCAGAAATCATATATATTAGTGACCTCTTTCCCAATACTCACATCTTGCAACTGAGAGAACTTTACAAGCTGTTCTATTATTTATTCCATTAGTTTTTTAACATACTTCTTTTATAGACTTCACATACGTACTGCCCTTTTTTTTTTTTTTCTTTCTTTGAGATGTATTGCTGTGTCACCTAGGCTGGAGTGCAGTGGTGTGATCTTGTCTCACTGCAGCCTCTGCCTCCCAGGTTCAAGTGATTCTCCTGCCTCAGCTTCCCTAGTAGCTGGGACTACAGGCATGTGCCACCATACAGGGCTAATTTTTGTATTTTTAGTACAGGTGGGATTTTACCATGTTAGCCAGGCTGGTGGTAAACTCCTGACCTCCACCAATCCACCCACCTCGGTCTCCCAAAGTGCTGGGATTACAGGCATGAGCCACCACACCTGGCCTTTATACATATTGCCATTTAAGAAACACTGCAGGAGTTGGCTTAGTTCTGTGCAGCCATTGGTGCCCCCAGGACACTATTGTCAGTGCAGATATAGACCTGGGCCCTGACCTTGAGACCAGCCTTCACTCAGCTGAGACCCCCTAGAGACAGGCTGTAGCTGCAGAGGAGACCGTGGAGTCTGTGAAAGCTCGGAATATAGAAAGTCCAGCCACTTACTATGGGATGTGGGGAAAAGGGCAAATTCTATAACTAAGAAGTCCACCCGTGGCTGGCTGTGTTCTCCAAAGCTTTGCCTGCATTTCATTTCTATTTGAAAGCTTTTTGCCTCTTAATTGTAAACATTTTATTCATTTGGAAAATACTTGTTGAGCACCTACTATATCCCAGGAGCTGCTGTCATCACTGGGAATGTGTAGTTGTAAACAAACAGTCCTTGCCCTCATGCAGCTGTGGCATCATAGATAGACAGGAAAGAAAGAGATATGTAATATAATTTCACAGAGCTGTAGGGCTCTGAGGAAAAATGAGGCAGAGTAAAGAGAAAGGATGCCAGGGGCTAGATTGCTCCTCTCCATGGAATGCTCGGAGGTGCTGTGTGACAGTGGGTTTGAGCAGAGACGTCCGCATAGATGGGGAGTAAGCCCTGCAGGTGTCTGGGTGAAAGGCACTGGCAGCAGAAGAGACAGCATGTGCAAAGGCCCTGAGGTGAGAGAAGGCTTGGCCTGCTGATGGCCCCAAGGAAGCCTGTGTGCGTAGGAGGATGGAAGCCAGCGGTGAATGGCAGTGAGATTGGCAAGGCAGCCAAGGCAGGTTGCCTCATGCCTGGTCACCAAAGTCCTGTGTTTGTTATCGAACTATACTATGGTGATCGCTGTGGTTGTAATTTAGTCAACCACATCTTGTACAACCACGTGTACGAGATCCTATGTTTCGGTAGATGCTGTAACTCATCCTAGTAAAATGAGCATAGTTTGAACATGTAAGGGAAATGGTTCCAATTTGTCTAGCTTAATCACCTAAAGTATCACAGTCATATCCATTCAAACCATGGTTCTTAGGCAGAGATGTGCACCAGAGTCTCCCAGGAGCTTTGTCAGAGTCTACCTGTCTGAGCCTCACAACAGATACACCTGTGCCTGATCACAAGACAGGGAGATGGGGAGGGATGCCGGCAGGTATATACTGGCTAATGTTTCCAGCTGACTCTGATAGGCAACTCTAATTAAAACTGAGTGCCTCATGCCTATAATCCCAGCACTTTGGAAGGCCAAGGCAGGCAGATTACAAGGTCAGGAGATCGAGACCATCCTGGCTAACATGGTGAGGCCCCATCTCTACTAGAAATACAGAAAATTAGCCTAGCGTGGTGGCACACACCTGTAGTCCCAGCTACTCGGGAGGCTGAGACAGGAGAATCACTTGAACCTGGGAGGCGGAGATTGCAGTGAGCCGAGATAGCACCACTGCACTCCAGCCTGGGGGACAGAACACAACTCCGTCTCACAACAAACAAACAATCAAACAAACTGGCAAAACATTAACAAACATTGTGACTTTACATTTTCTTTTATTTTTCTAGTCTCCAAGGACTTTGTCTCCTACTCCATCGGCAGAAGTAAGTACCATTTCTTTTTACCATTTTAATGGGTAGAATTTGAGACTGTTTGGCCCTTCCCTGGACTGGGACTTTTGAAAAAGGATATAACATACAAAAGAACAGAAAAACTGCTTGTGGGATTATGCTGGCTGTGGGGATTATCTCCATGGAAGAGGAGGCTCAGACACAGCAGTATACTTCTCTTAAAATGGAGACCGAAGAGTAGAAATGGCCTCACACTAATCTGTCTGTCCTGTAAGTGGAAGGAAAGTGTCTACAGGGACCTAAGTCACTTGTCCCAATGTGGGGCTCTTTGCCCTCATCTATAATGAATTGTTTTGAACCTCAATGTACTAAAATGGCCAACAGCAGTCAAGGCGTATTTCTGTACACAGAGCCATCTTGATGGGAGGTTACTCCGTTTAGTCTGAAATCAACCATCTGATCTTAAAACCAAGAAACTTTCTGGATGTTATAAAACCGGACTGCTTTTAGGAAATATCTATCATTCAAAGGAGTAAAAATGCCATAGTATTTTCATGATTTATCACAGTGCTATGAATTATTTCTATCCATATTAATAATTTGCACTGAAATTATGAGGAATTAATTTCTATTATTGACCAACTGTGCAAGGTCAAAGCACCTAATTTGGGGGCTTCTGGTTTCATTGTTCTTTTATTTAATTTATAGACCAAGCCAAAGTTTCCTTGCCATTTGCTCTCAAATTCCACAAAGCTGTGGTTACTGAGGTTTTCATTTAGTCAGTATTTATGTATTCTTGGAAACTTTTTACTTTTATTCTGCTAATAGAAATTTCATAGGACAACAGATTCTTAAAATGTAAAATATTCTTTGTACTATTTCAACTGTTCAGTTTTATATTGTGTTTGTGTGCCTGTGATTTTTTGGTACTTATTACCTAATATATCCTTTTCTATATTTGGAGACAGGTGGCATTTTAGTGGTGCTGTAATATTCCATTGAATTTTTATGTCATCATTTCCTTTTCTTTTGTTTGAGACAGAGTCTCACTCTGTCCCCCAGGCTGGAGTACAGTGGCGCAATCTCGGCTCAGCGTAACCTCCACTGCCTGGGTTCAAGTGATTCTCCTGTCTCGGCCTCCCAAGTAGCTGGGATTATACTTGTGCACCATCACGCCCGGCTAATTTTTGTATTTTTAGTAGAGACAAGGTTTTGCCATGTTGGCCAGGCTGCCCTTGAACTCCTGACCTCAGGTCTGCTGCCTTGACCTCCCAAAGTGGTGGGATTATAGGCATGAGCCACCATGCCTGGCCCATATGTCATAATTTCTTAACTGTGCCCCAATTTGTTGAACATGTAACACAGACTTTTGCCTTTATGAATAGTGGCACTATAAAAGTCTTTGAATAAATTATTCCTCCTTTTAAAGGGCATTTGAAGTTATTTTCTTGGAATGTTTCCCAAGGTAAGAAGTAAAATACTGACTTTATGGCAACCCTCAACTTGTTCAGGAGAATCTACTTAAAATGCCATCAGATCAATGTTGCAGGCAGTATAGGTTGCTTAGTGTTCTGAGCAAAGGATGAGATTAGAATCAGGAGGCCGGTTCCAAAGCAGGCTCTGCCCATACCAGCTACACACCTACACAGAGAACTCTTACCTGCCTGGAACCTTGTTTCTGCATTAGTGGGGGAGGGAGGTGATACCACGTGGTCTACCTTTTCTTGTTATGCAGATCTGGTAGGTATGTGGACACAGTTTACGAAACTGAAAACTACAATATCAACATGGTCATTGGAATTATTAATCTCTTGTCCCAGAGCTCTATCTCTATGGAGGTTTATAGTTTTTCATCTTAAAAAAATTTTGTTGAAGAAACAGGGTCTCACTCTGTCATCCGGGCTGCAGTGCCCTGGCACAGTCACAGCTCACTGCAGCCTCGAACTCCTGAGTAACTGGGACTGCAGGCATGTGCCACCAAACCTGGCTAATTTTTTACATTTTTTTTTTTTGTAAAGACAAGGTCTCGCTGTGTTGCCCAGGCTGTTCTCAAACTCCTGGCTTCAAGCCATCCCTCCACCTTGGCCTCCAAAAGTGCTGGGATTACAGGTGTGAGCCGCCACACCCGGCTCTTAAAATTTTGTAATAAGCCCAAGTACTGCAGATTTTGAACAAAATGTATTAGCCACAGAATGCTCATTTACATATAAAATATCTGCACAATTTGCACATGAAAATAAGCGCATATGTTAATCAAATATATATAAACAAGTAGACATGATAGTCCCTTGGCAGCGTTTGTGAAACTTGGTTCCTACTGAGGAACGGTGATAGTCTGAACGTGTTGAACTTTGTTTCCAGGGGTACCAGGACGTTCGGGATCGGATGATCCATCGGTCCACTAGCCAGGGCTCCATCAGCTCCCCTGTGTACAGCCGCCACAGTTACACTCCAACCACGTCACGCTCTCCCCAGCATTTCCACAGACCTGGTAAGGGTGACTGTTCCTGGAATTCACTCTATAGAACAAACTGTATTTCTGTGATTTTTCTTCCTCTACCATTGATAGCACCTTGAAAAATCGACTCCTAAACATTTCTGCCCCTCTCCCAGAGCAAAATGAAAACTGGTATCTAACTATATTTTGTGCTATATCTTTTCTAGAAACGTCAGTCATTCTATGGCTGTGTTCATTTTGATTTATTAAATAATAATATTTTGACAGCGAACTACTGGAAGCAAGGGTTTTTTTTAAAAAAATATATTTTTTTTGGAGTTAACGAAAATCTCTTCACTTTGAGACTTAAAATGGAGATCTCCCAAAGAATATATTTTGATGTGCTTTTTAGGCATACCAACATCTTCTAAAAAATTCAGTATTCACCATTTTTAACAGATGTTTTCTGTTTCCCTTATCTAGGTACATGGTGCTACTAAGCATGCTTGGTGAAGCACTTTCTATAAAGAGTACCTAGGGCTCTTCTTGATCAGTTTTAAGATCCCTTCCAACCCTAAGATTTTCTATCAGACTTAGAAAACAAAATCACTTCCAACCCTAAGATTTTCTATCAGACTTGGAAAACATAAAATCATTAGGCATTACCACAGTAGAGAGTGTCACATTGAAATAGATTTTAGTGGACCTTCATCTGCAGAGAATTTAGTCTCTGTGGCTACTAGTGGGTGTCTCCGGTAGGAGAAGAATGGAGACCCCAGTACAGACCCAAGATTCCCTGAGAAACAGATTCACAAGGAAGATTCTGGCCTCTAATAAAACTTAATGGTGATGATGGGCATCTACGAAGATTTCATTCATGTTAAGCTTCTTGCTTCTGGACGAGTAGATGAGAACAAACCCATATGCTGCCTTTTTAAAATAAATTGTACAAGACATAAAACCAAAGGAATTAACAGGATGATAAAAGGCTGCAATCTTCTAAGACTCTAGATTTAATGCTTGTAGAGAATTCAAACAATTTGATCTTTTGATAATGTGTAATTTTCTCTATGCTGATAAGTATTTATGCTATTTATTGAATTATGTTAAATGAATATTTTCCAGAAAATTTATTTCCCTTATTTCATGGGCCACTGTATTCATTTTACTGGTGCCCAGGACATGGATGTCGATTTAAGCGCTTGTACACCTGGGTAATAAGAAATCCTTTATGCTGCCACCCTGCTCATGTACATGTGCTGAGGTCACTGAGACCCCAGCCATGGAGTTACCAGAGTGGAATGGAGTTATGGGGGCATCATTGTTCCAGAGACCCCTGAATAGTGAGGGGACTGGTCAGTCAACACTTCTTCCCCTAAAAGCTCTTGTCCTTATTGAGAAAGTTTTCATCTGTTCCAATCATGGTTCTGTTGCCAATAGACTTTAGAACTTTCTCCTTCTCTCCTTTCACAATATATGACATGTATGCCTAATGCCACCTTTTAGGCTTTAGAGTTATTATTTTGAGGTCTGCCCTTCTAAAGTGCAGGTGAAGGGATTCTGATAGCATACCTGTGATCCACATAGAACACCCCAAAGTGTCCACTCCTCAGGTTCTAGATGACAGATGATGATTTAACCCCACCTCGGTCTAGGTTGGATTTGAAAGGTCCATTCTTCCGGAGATAACTGAGTTTCCAGCCTCCAGTCCTCCTGCTGGAGTTCCCAGGACCATAGATACCTCCTTGCCACCCGGAGAACACAGATAGATTTTCCTTCTATGTGGGCAAAATAAAATTAAACTTCCAGTGGGATAAGTTTGTAGGTTAAGGAAAAAAAAAAAAAAAAAAGAAACCTGATCCTTACATATAAATACAACGACCGTCATTTTTGAAAATTAGCATTTCAGAGGGTTCTGTTTTGTCAGGTGCGTTTTACACACAGCCAATGTTGAGTTTAAATGACGTGCCTGCTACTGGCTGGACAGAGACCATCCGGGTGACTATTTCTTCTCACCAAAGCCATTTATTCTCAGAGAGTGACTCTGTACCTGCCTGAGCCTCTTTGTAAACTCTCCCCCACTTTGCCTCAGCCTTAGCAGGTGCATTCTTAACCCTCTCTCCTTCCTCCCCTTTCAGCCTCCTGATTAATGTTCTTGATTTTGTTTTCCCTTGGAACGATGACGCTTTCCTGCTCCTGTGTTAATTTCTGTTCTTCTTTTCTGTTTCCCCCGTGCCCTGCCCCTGACTCCTTGCTGCACAGAGCTTTTGTCTCCTGGTGTGCAGAGGTTGTCCTACCTGCGCACCAGCAGCCTCAGCCCCACCCACAGCGACTCCCGCCCCAACCCCCCTTTCCGACACCACTTCATTCCCCATATCAAAGGTAAGGAGGCAGGTTTCTCCAGGCAGCACCCTGCATAGTGGAGATTTATTAGCACCCTGGGAAGGCTAATAAGGCGTGTATCTGCAAGAGTTAGTGCCGAGCTTTTGAGCTCTCAGCATGCCTGCGTGTGTCATGACTATACCCAACAATTGTCTTAGAATGGGCATAGCATCTCTCCTTGGGAGAAATATGTCACTTCTAAGGGCTCTAGATGAAGAAACAGGAAGTATGTTTAAGACCCTAAGATTTATTATCCACTACTTTGAAAGAAGAAAAAAAAATATATATATATATTATTATTTTGTTTTTGGATGTGTCAAAACAAAATATAATATATATAATTAGAATATTTTCCTGGGTTCAATACACAACATGTCTCAACAAAACACAATAGTGTATAGTAACAAACATTCAAAAGTTGTCTTACCAGTGATAAACTATAACCATATTAACATGTTTGAGCAGCATTAAAAGATCTATGGCAACAACAATGTTTCTCTTTGAGCTGAATTGTCTTTGGATTTGTCCTAACTCCCAGTGATGGAGAAGAAAGGCTTTGCCTTCTGTTTTCTGTTCCTGCCCCACGTTTCTGCCCCGTCCCTTTGTTTTCACTGTTGTCGGTGATGCTTCTGCAGCCGTCCTCAGCGGGAACTCTCCACACTGGGGAAGCCCAGAGCCCCAAAGAAGCTATGAAAGGGCCATAATTTAAAATTAAGTAGGAGCTCCCAGAACGGTGCTAACTTGATTTGAACCAAATTAACCAACAATCCTAGCTGAAGGAGGGAGGAGGAGGCAAGCACAGACGTTATCACAGGTCTTCAAATAGTCCTAAAGGACTCCAGCCATGGGCTGCTCCGCATGTCACACCTGACGCTTCCGTTGAGGAGCTTGTTCTGGTTTACTGAATTTTCCTTGTCACTCTACCCAAGCTTTTCCTTTTTGTTCACTTGGTTGTTGAGCAGCTGAGTCCTAAAAGGCACATGGATTGTACTTACCAGTATGCAGTGATTTTATAAATTTGCTAGTTCTGCATTTTCTATGCTTTGAAAATAATATTGCTTATTGAAGCAATCATGCTTATCGAAGACACAGATGCCATTTGCCATTAGCAAATTTTTTGATAGGCGCAACACTTTCTAAAACTCTTGACAGATTATTTTGCTTTATTTTATTTATTTATTTGTTTGTTTGTTTTTCTGAGACAGAGTCTCGCTGTCACCCAGGCTGGAGTACAGTGGTGCAGACTTGGCTGACTGCAACCTCTCCCTCCCAGGCTTAAGTGATTCTCCTGCCTCAGCCTCCCAAGTAGCTGGGATTACAGGTGTGAGCCACCACACCCAGCTAATTTTTGTATTTTTGGTAGAGACCAGGTTTTGCTATGTTGGCCAGGCTGGTCTTGAACTCCTAGCCTCAGGTGTTCCACCCACCTTGGCCTTCTAAAGTACTGGGATTACAGGCATGAGCTACCATGTCTGGCCAACAGATTATTTTAAATTATGAGTGCTAATTAGTATTTTGGGGGAAAAATTTTACTTATAAAATGTCAAGATGATACTTTAGAGAATGTTTATAAAATCATAAAGAAATTATGGTTTTTTTTTTTTAAAAAAAAAAACCCTTCAATTGCATATTTTAAAGAGACTTTAATATAGCAGTCATTAACCAAATTAAGATTTTGGTTATTTCTGCTGAGGTGGGCAGATTGCTTGAGCCCAGGAGTTCAAGACAGCTTGGTCAACATGGTGAAACCCCATCTCTACAAACTCCAAAAAAAAAAAAAAAAAAAATAGCTGTGTGTGGTGGTACATGCCTGCAGTCCCAGATACTCAGAGACTAAAGCAGGAGAATGACTTGAACCCAGCAGGTGAAGGTTGCACTGAGCCGAGATTGAGCCACTGCACTCCAGCCTGGGTGACAGAGCAAAACCCTGTCTCAAAAAGAAAGAAAAGAAAAAAAGATTTTGGTTATTTCTGGTATTAAAGAAAAAATACATTTTTGATTTAATAGAATATAAACTCCCTCACTTGGTTAATATATATTTCAACTTTTATAGAGACACTTTTTGTAGAAAGAAAAGTATCACAGGTCAATAACACAGCACAAAGTGTCAGTGACTGCTCAATGACGAACACTATCTCATGTCCATGAGTAGCCACGTGGAGAGTTGAAAAGCCCATGGACATTGGAATCTTGGGTTTAAATATGATCTCCATCATTTGCTAACTGTGTGACCTTGGGTTGTTTGTTTATCCTGTTGGGTGTCACTTGCCTCCTCCATAAATCAGGAACAGTGAGACTTCTACCTCACGAGGTGAAGTGTGTTGGTGTGCAGCAGGCCCACCTTGGTCAGCATGGTGCTCTTAAATTGTTTTTTTTTTTTTTTTTTTTTGGAGACAGAGTCTCATTCTGTTACCCAGGCTGGAGTGCAGCGGTGCAATCTCAGCTCACTGCAGTGTCCTCTCCCAGCTTCAAGTGATTCTCTTGCCTCAGCCTCCTGAGTAGCTGAGATCACAGGTGTATACCATTACACCAAGCTAATTTTTTGTATTTTTAGTAGAGATGGGGTTTCACCATGTTAGCCAGGCTGGTCTCAAACATCTGACCTCAAGTGATCCGCCCACCTTATCCTCCCAAAGTGCTGGGATTACAGGTGTGATCCACCATACCCGGCCTTAAATCATTTTTGATGGCACCATTCTGTTCGTTTTTCACAGTATCCTTAAGAAATGGGCTGAGTGGGCCAGGCGCGGTGGCTCACACCTGTAATCCCAGCACTTTGGGAGGCTGAGGCAGGCGGATCTTGAGGTTAAGAGATGGAGCCCATCCTGGCCAACATGGTGAACCCCCGCCTCTAGTAGAAATACAAAAATTAGGCCGGGCATGGTGGCTCATGCCTACAATCCCAGCACTTTGGGAGGCCGAGGCGGGTGGATCATGAGGCCAAGAGATCGAGACCATCCTGGTCAACATGATGAAACCTCATTTTTACTAAAAATACAAAAATTAGCTGGGCATGGTGGCGGCACCTGTAGTCCCAGCTACTCGGGAAGCTGAGGCAGGAGAATCACTTGAACCCGGGAAGTGGAGGTTGCAGTGAGCTGAGATTGCGCCACTGCACTACAGCCTGGCGACAGAGTGAGACTCCGTCTCCTCAAAAAAAAAAAAAAAAAAAAAAACAAAAATGGGCTGAGTGAGGAGACCAAGTAAGTAGCAGGGGCCCTCGCCAAGTAACTTTCCAGGGGCTCACCACTAGGACGTGGCAGTGCCCAGACAAGACCCGGGCCCTCTCCATCTCAGGAGCATTCCTTCACATGAGGACCACGTGTTTCAGTATCAATATGCATAAAGATCATTTTTAAAGCACATTTTTATGTTTCACTTTTGGCCAGAAAATTGCATTCTTATTGAGGCTTAGACCAAGAATAATCCTCAGTCATTTAGATCACAAAATAAAGAGCTATTTACTTTTCCATAGAAATATTAAATTGTCATAAAAATTATATCACCCTATGTTCCTAAATGGTGCTTTATTAAAAATGTAGATATACATTCTTTTCTGTTTTCGGTCCGCATTTGAAGTTTTTGACATCATCAGATATTCTGTGTTTAAATGATAAAAAGCATTAAGCCAAAAGGAATTAGGGACCCTGAACTTAAAAACATCCAGTAGTCTCTCTCCCCTTTTCTTTTTACTAGACATGTGCCTATAGTTTGTTCATATGAAATAGCCTTTATGCTTCAGATGCAAAGTGTAATGTATGTAACAGTATATGCTTAGTTTTTCAATCATATGAGCTTTTTGCCAACCTGAAAGATGAAGCATTGGCTGCTTTGGGCACAGCTGCCTATTGGGCAGTCCTGCTCCACAGGGAGCCGTTTAAAAAAAAAAAAAAAGATACATCATGGAGATTTTGTACCTTAAAGATATTGCTTTAAAAGCCTAGTGTAATTGGCTAAATGACGATTTTCCATACTTCTTAGTTATTTTGAAAAACATGTATCCATTTACATGGAAGATCTCTCCAGCACTTAGAAATTTCAGAATGGGGGAACTTATGGCCATTGAGAAACACATCCAAGATACCTTTGAGATAAGTCAATGTCTTCCAGGGTTTCCTGTGGCCCTTCATTGACTTTTATCTTGCAGCTTGTCTTGGAACTTGAGGGAGTTTTTTTTTTTTTAATGGATGTTTGCTGGCAGCTTGACCTGAGGTAGGATGTCCATCTCAGTGGCAGGCGGGGGGCCCTTTGCCACTCTGGTAGCCAGAAGCCCAGGCTTCCATTGCCCAAGTCCACTTCCTGGTCCTTGTTTCTGCAGCATGTGACCCAGGCCTGGGTCTCACTGAGCTGAGGACGCCTGCATGGCTGTAAAGCTGAGATGCACGGAAACAGACTGTTTCTCTATTTCACTGGCTTCTCCGTCCATTTTCCATAACATCCATTGTTGGTTGGGTGTATTTTTATTTCTGTTCTCCAAACTTCCTTGTAACCTCATTCTGTCTTACTATATCTTTGGGCCATTTGGACAACCTTATGCCTAGAGATTTGGAAAAACCATTTTCACTTTGTTTTGGGGTTCGTTTGTGAAGTGTCGGCTAAGTTTCTCTTCCTTCCCCTTTGAAATACTGCTAGACATGACAGTCTGTGTCCACGAAGTATAAATTGGATTTGTGAGCAGGAGGGCTACATATATTAAGTCTCTTTGAAAGGAATCTTTTCTCTTTTGCTATAAATATGAGTTGCCATGATATAAATATATATTTGACACTTGCAGAAGGAAACTGTAACTCTTATTGATGTTTTAGACAAGAACCGGCAATCTTAAAACTCACAAAATTCTGCATGCTGCCAAGTTATCTTAAGGATCCCTCAAGATGTTCATTTATATTTGGGAATGGAAGCACTACAAGTCCAGAGAGCTCGGCAGTGCTCCAGCAGGTTCCCACAGCAGAACTGCACGCCCAGCTTTCTATTCACGTGTCTTAGAGTTAGTCACTCAGGCTTTCATATGCCAAAATGAAGAACAGAAGTGGAGACAGGCATTTGGATTTGTTAAGTACGGTGAGAATCCTGTAAGTGAATGCTCCCTCAAGGTCTAGAAAGTTGGCTTTCTAGAAGAAAAGAGGAAAAGAATTAAAAATGAAGGCCAAGAAATAGAAATAAAAACATAAATAGAAACATAGTAGCTTGTCACTGCAGTAGGTAAGAACACGAACAACTTAGGTTGGCCCAATCTGAGAACTTAAAGGAATAAAATAGCTATGAGTGTGATATATATGCTATTGTATTACACACACACACACACACACACACACACACACTCACACACACACACTCACAGAGACGTATACAGTGGTTTTTGTTTTTGTTTTTGTTTTGAGACAGAGTCTCACTCTGTTCCCCCAGCTGGAGTGCAGTGGAGTAATGATGGCTCACTGCAGCCTCCGCGTCCCTAGCTCAAGCAATTCTCCTGCCTTAGCCTCCTGAGTAGCTGGGATTACAGGCGCCTGCCACCAACGCCCACCTAATTTCTGTATTTTTAGTAGAGACAGGGTTTCACAATGTTGGCCAGGCTGGTCTCGAACACCTTGCCTCAAGTGATCCACCCACCTCAGCCTCCCAGAGTGGTGGGATTTCAGGTGAACCATCATGCCCTGCCTATTATTTTTAAACAGTATCTTATTCTGGGTTGATAGATGATGACAACGATGACGATAGTGATATCTTCCAAATATGATATTTCATCTAGTGTGTCACACATTACATTGCCTAAGTAAGAAACTAGGCACAGATGACTGCTTAGGGCCCCCATCACTTATTTCCTGCCAGGGTTGGGTTCAGAGTTATATCATTTAAAGATAGGATGTTGGCTGAGCGCCGTGGCTCATGCCTGTAATCCCAGTATTTTGGAAGGCTGAGGCAGGCAGATCACTTGAGTTCTGGAGTTCAAGACCAGCCTGGGCAACATGACGAAACCCCGTCTCTACTAAAAATACAAAAATTAGCTGGGTATGGTGGCACGCACCTGTAATCCCAGCTACTTGGGAGGCTGAGACAGGGGAGTTACTTGAACCTGGGAAGCGGAAGGAGCTGGGATTGTGTCACTGCACTACAGCCTGGGTGACAGAGAGACTCTGTCTAAAAAAACAAAATTAAAAATAAATAAAGAATAGGGTGTTTAAGTTAGAAAAGGAAAAGAGGCCTCTTCTTGAGAATTTTTATTTTTCTTTTAAATGGCCAAAATTTTTCATGCCTTTGGTATTTCAAGGGCTAAGAATTTGGTACCTAGCAACATTATCTATTCCAAGACCTTATTCCCCAATGAGCAGTTGTGATACATGAAAATCACATTCCGCAGAATTGCTGAGATGGGTGTGTCACTGGGTCTCTCTTTATCTGATTTTTTAAAATGCTTTATGGGAAATTTTAAATGATTATAGTTATCTACTTACAAAATTTGAACATATTAGTGTTTTTATTTAAAGAAAAAAAAACAACTAGAGAGGTCAACAGTTGCTAAAGACATACAGCAAAATATAGAACCACACCCAGCTGGTGATGGCATTCAGCCAGAATCCACTTTTTGGGAATTCAGACAGCTACTCCATAGCCTCTGAAAGGCTTTTGACCGTATTCAAGAAGTGGTAGGCTCCTACAGACACTGGCCAGCAAAGGGTCTTGTTGACAGAAAGATTTCAATACCTGGACAAATGTCTAATCCTAATAACCTTAAATTTTGTGTCCTGCATATGCAGATATTTTTGTGTGTGCATGACACTGGGTAATAATTATAAAAACAGATTTAATAGAAGTTCATTTGATTGCATATTATAACCAAAACTTATGAGAACTTTCCCAGAAACATCTGATTTTCTACAAGGACAGTGGAGGTCGATGTGAAAGAACAAAAGCACGCAACCATGTAGTTCAGACGCAGTGGCAAAAATCGAGACCCATTATACTTTCTTTTGAGAAAAGGCCACAAGGCACGGTGGGTCACACCTGTAATCCCAGCACTTTGGGAGGGCGGATCACAGTGTCAGGAGATCGAGACCATCCTGGCTAACACAGAGAACCCCATCTCTACTAAAAAAAAAAAAAAAAAAAATGAGCCGGGTGTGGTGGCATGTGCCTGTAGTCCCAGCTACTCAGGAGGCTGAGGCAGGAGAATCACTTGAACTCGGGAGGCGGAGGTTGCAGTGAGCCGAGATCGAGCCATTGCACTCCACCCTGGGTGACAAAGTGAGACTCCGTCTCAAAAAAAGAAAAAAAAAAGAAAAAGAAAAGACCACAAGAATTATTGTTTTTCAGTTATGGATTACTCTTGTTAATAATTTCTAATGTTCATAGGATTAAATAATTATTTTTCAGTGAAACAGTTAAATTGGGGTTGTCAAGGATTGGCTGTAACAAGAAAGTTATAAAAGGGGTGCTGTTGTGATCCTACTGCTGTGTATGGTAGGTCTTTACTTACCATCAATAGGTTCTTGGAAACTGTGATTTAAGTGAATTGATATATAGCAAAACTACTTATTCCCTCAATGTTGTGATGAAACTAGGTTGAAAAAAATGACGTTCCTTAAGGACCAGCTATATGTTATCTCGCTTAAAGTTTCAGTTTCCAAGAACTTACAGATATTAAGTGAGGAATTACTGCACTAGCATCTGGCTTCCTTTAATTTAGAGATTAGAGAAAAATGATGGTTGATCTTGCCATGATGCTCACTAAATTAGGCCAATAAATAGCTGTGGAGGTAATTAATTGACCTCCTTCAATCATACATTGACAGACATTTATTAAATACTTACTCCTGGCCAGACGATACACTGAGCACCGATGGTGATAAATGAGAGCAAATTTTAATTCAGCAACAGGTTTAAACACTGTTTCCTTCTACATGCAGGTCATAATCTTCCTTCCTCTGTGTTTTTTATATTCACTTTTTTTCCCCAGTATGAGCTAGTTACTTCTCTTTAGGAAAGGGGTAATGTTTTTATAAATTAGCTTTTCAATGATCAATAGTTTGGGATGATATTGCATATTTTTTGGAAACTAATATATGACTTAATAAAGTCAACATTATAGCATATTTGGGGCTAAACTGACTCTTGAGAAGAAAAGACAGAAGTTTCAGAACACCAATAAGCAAAAGCCAGGAATCTAAATTTGATGCAGTAATAGACACATCTCATATTTGGAATATCTTACTGCCAATTTAGTATAGATCTGTACTCTGGTTACTTAAAAAATGTATGTGCTGAGACATTAAAATTCCCTTAAGTGTATTTTAAAACTCTAATAATTGACATCTTTCATACTTGACTAGCTAGATTTAGGAAAATTTGACCTGTATCAACTGGCCAGAGTGCTATTTTCTGATGATCTACGATTTATTTAAAATTATTAATGTTAATAGATAAATAAATTGGACTTTATCAAATTTTTTAAACTTTTATGCCTCAAAGAATTCTACCAAAAAAGTGAAAAGACAACCTACAGACTGGGAGAAAATATTTGCAAATTTATATTATTTCTGATAAGAGACTTGATCCAGAATATATAAAGAACTCTTACAGCTCAAAAGTAAAAGTAATTACCACTACTGAGTTTTAATAGTCCTACCTCTTCTGGTGTCCTCTTGAAACAAGATGTTTGCCCAGACATAGGGTAAGATGACAATTTAGGCCAGTTGCAAATCTCTAATTTTGCACAAGCTGAATGAGTTCATCCCAGCCATTCTCCTGGTCAGAAGGAAGTGATGGTGGCTATGGTGGCACTGAAGGCTCAGCCACCCCTTTGCCCTCTTTTCTGGCCTGGTCCCTCTTCTCTCCTCCAAGAGCACCATGCTATCCAGACAAGGTGGCCAGTCCCATTGCTCCGCCAGACCACACTGTTCCACACCCTCCTTTCTCATGACGTTCCAGCCCTCTGGAATATGGGCTTCCCACCCTCCCATTCACCTACCCTCCTACCTGGTGAGCTTACTCTTTGATGCCCACCTCAAACCTAACTTGAAGAATTCGTGGCACCTTCATCTGAGTCTCATAGCATTTTTCTTATACCTCAGAGTAAACAATTACATGTCATTATATTGTATTTGTTTTAAGACTGTCTTCTTAGATAGCCTCTAAGTCCCTTGAGGGCAGGAACTATATCTCATTCATCTATTTGTCCTCAGTAGTATTCAGTGCCCAGCCATAGTAGGTGCTCAATAAATGTTTCAGTGGTTGAATCAGCCTGGGTGGAGCCTCATCTTTGAAGTGAAAGGTGGGGAGAGGTATAAATGGTCGCAAAGTACCTGCTTGACATGGGTCTGACTCTAGCTTGTATATTTCAAAGTAAGGAAAACAGAAACATATGCTGCAAATGAAGGCACTTTGTATTCCTAAGGGGAAGGACTTGGTGACCACACAGGTTCCCAGACTTAACCTTCAGATAGGAGAAACCTCTGCTAATTGCCAGCCGCTGCTGTCATGCTTGGGAGTGATTTGTATTTGGGTTTGCCTAGCCTGCCCCCTTACATGCTTGGGATTTAACCATCTGACAACTGATCCTGAATCATGAGCAATAAGCTTTCCATCCCTCCCAGTGTCCCCTCCATCTAATCAGTTTGCCGCGAGCTCACAGCTTTCAGTGCATGCCATCGGAATGCCGCACCTGACCGCTAGCTGCTTCTAACCCAGCTCCCCCTGAATTCAAATCTCTATGACGGAACACTAAACCTGATTATCACCTTTGCGAGCCAAGTTGATAAACTGAGTTTGTTTATTTTGTTTCTCCTTTTTGATGAACCTCCTTCCAGTCTGTTGTTTTGAATTTTTATTATGCTTGCTTTGTTTTCTTTGTTTCTCTTCCTTCTCTCATTTTGTTTTTTCCATTCTTCTCATTGGAGGCAATGAGCCGTCCAGCGGCCGGAACTCCCCTCTCCCTTACCGGCCAGACAGCCGCCCTCTAACTCCAACTTACGCTCAGGCCCCTAAACATTTCCATGTTCCAGGTAGGAGCTGACACAGTCTGTGTCTTGGTGTCCTGTCACAGTGTAGAATGTAGCCTTGTAACCTCGTCTCGTCTCATCTCTCATGCTCTTTTAATTGGGATGCACAGTTAACCCTAAATTGCAGGATCTGACCTAGGGGGCCTCTCAAAAGTTTTGTGTTAAATGCCAGGATTACGTTGAAGCTTTATGTCTTTTCAAATATTTTTTGGAGAGTGTGGGTAATGGGTAAAAGCAGTTGGGTTGTTTGTTTTGTTTTTTACTAAAAATTTAATTGTACCTTTTTATCATTGCCTTCTAAGATATCTTTCTGTGGTTTGCTGTCATTGACTAATTATCCTAATGGCAATCTAGTCATCCTGAAGATTGAACCACAGTATCACTTGAGAGAATACTTTTATATTTCCTGTTTTTCTCTAACATGGAGACTTTCTCCAAGGACTTTTCAGAGAGATGTAGAATTGGGTGAATTGGTTGGTCTTTCTGCAGTGCATAGCAGACTAGCCGCCTCCATAGCACATGAAGATATCTTGCAATTTAGGCTTGGTGCTGCAAGCTTTGCTCTAGTAGTCACAAGCATTTGCTGTCATAATACAAATAGTAATTTGACATCAGAAACTGACAGACTCAGAGCCCGTTAATATAATATCTTAATGTTTAGAGTCAGCTCACTTTGTAAAGACAGGATTAACCATCAGAGGTAATAATATATTTCTCCCAGCAGTATATTGTTTTTTGCTTTTTTTAGCTACTGAAAGTAGTTTAATAAATTATCATTATATTAATGTAAGTGTACATATTTAGAATCTATAATCATTTTTTTCTTTTGCTTCTAAACTTACCTAATTAAACAGAGGAAAGTTCACTGAGAGTTATATCACTTAGTTGGGACTGTCCTTTCTAAAAAAGTTTAATTGAATCTTAAAAATTAATATTCTCTATTTGGGATTTTTCACATAAAAATGCCCCACCTAGATACAGTGCCCAAGGTTTTGGGGAAACAGAAACCTTTTGAAATTTCCTGAGTATTTACAGCTAAACAAAATGGTTTCATAATCCAATGGGGTCTTGTATAAATATATAAAGAGTATTTAGCATCTCTTTTCTTTTTCATTCATTCATTCTTTTTTTAAAAATTTGGCCCGTATAAATTAGGATTTGTTGAACATCCCATCAGCACACCAGGCTAGCCTTGCACATAAAAAGTTTCTATGTTTTTTTTTTTTAAAAAAAAAAAAAACTCTGGATTTTTCTACATTGCTTTCCACTGTTCCACTCATTAGTTGAAAAGTAAATTGAGCCACTGGTATCTACTGGGGGCTCAATTTCTAGACAGTAGCAATTTGGGGTTTTCCCCAAACTGGTTATGTCTTTCTCACCATAAAAGTACCTCCACTGCTTGTATTTCTTCCTGTTTTAATCCCTCTTTCAGTGAAGTGTGTATTTGAAATAAATGGCTTATGAGTTAATCACATCTTCATATATCTTAAGATGTATTACAAAGGCTTCCATAACACTTGTCTATAGTAAGCCGCTCATTTCTATTATAATTTTTCTTTCAATAAACTCAATCTTTGTAATACAGAAATTAACCTTCTGAGTTATTTTTGTTCGAGATCTTCAGTTTGATTTGCCCCTTGATTGATCTGTTTTTCCCATCGCTGAACTGATTCCCATAATCACACACCTTTGCTTTTCATTTCCGCAGATCAAGGGATCAACATTTACCGAAAACCACCCATCTACAAACAGCATGGTAAAACCCACTTTCCTCCGCATAGCTTTTAAATAGCAAAGTCAGCTGAACGTCTCCTTGCTGTCCTCTGAAAGTCTTTTCCTGCTGCTGCTTTTGAGAACCTGGGGCATCCAGCATAATTATACCTTTCTGGTCTACTAAGATGTAAATATTGTGAAATTGATTTTCCTGGATGGAGAGCACTTAGCTTGATTAGAAAACTTCTAACCTGTTTCTGAGCCCATCAAACCATGTGTCATTCCATCCCTAGAGAAGGGGAAGTACTGGTCACACAGCAACTCACAAACATCTTAGTGAGACTTTTTTTTTTGCCATCAAATATGGTCACCCTTTAAAATAAGTTTGATGAGACTAAAAACTAGTGAAAACCAGCCACCTAGAAAAGCTAATTTGACTGAGCCTTCGTCAACGTGGCTGTCCAGGTCTCCAGTTTCCTATTGGGCATGAAGATGTCTGCACAGTGGAGTGAACAGGATACAAGCTAACACAGAGGTCAAGGCCCTGGTCCCACTTTCTCCCTAAATGGCTCTGCGATGTCGTTTCTCTGTGCTTCCGTTTTCTGTAAAAACAGATTAGTTTGTCTCTGAACTTCCCTGCAAACTAAGAATCACTAACGTGCATGTATAATTGTGTTTTCCTTTTTTTAACTCAGGAAATCACATGACTTTATGTAAATCACATTTTCATTAACCATCATTAAGTCTCTATAGACATATCTACCGTAAATCTTTGTGAAAAGAGCCAAAGCTGGTCTTCAGGTAATTTCAGGAAATTCTACACAAATTGTGCCTGGAAATTTGAAGGCTGCCTTTAGAATCCAGTTGACATTCATGAGTTCTTAAGAATCAGGATAACATGAGGCCAGGTGCAGTGGCTCAAGCCTCTAATCCCAGCACTGTGGGAGGCTGAGGTGGCTGGATCATTTGAGGTCAGAAATTCAAGACCAGCCTAACCAACTTGGTGAAACCCTGTCTCTATTTAAAATACAAAAAAAATTAGCTGAGCGTGGTGGTGCATGCCTGTAATCTCAGCTACTTGGGAGGCTGAGGCAGGAGAATTGCTTGAACTCCAGAGGCAGAGGTTGTGGTGAGCTGAGATGGCACCACTGCACTCCAACCTGGGTGACAGAACAAGACTCCATTGCAAAGAAAAACAAACAAACAAAAAAAACCACGATGACATGAAAATCAAAAAATGTTGGAAATGCACAAATTTTAGGCCAAAATCCTGGGAAGACAAAGAGCAATGTATGTATCGCAGTGGTTCTAGAGCTATGATTTTTTTTCTCATCTTTTTGTTGAGGCTTTAAACCATACGCTGGCTTTTTACGTTTGTTAACATTTTTTTTTTTTTTTTTTTTTTTTATGGTTTACTGTCTTACCACACACTCATTAACATATGAATGTTTAACCACTGACTTCACCAATTCTAATCCGTAAGTACTGTTCAAAGTCATCCTATTGTTAATTTAAGAATAAAATTATCAGAGTTTGATTTGTCAACTTAGAAACTTTGAAAATCCTATCTTTAAGTCCACCTCTCTGAAGAAAAACAATCAAATAACTAAAATTTAAGGAGATTGGACAATGTTATATTATTTGTTTGGAAGGGATTAATTGACTTCTTTTCATGATATTTACTTTAACTGAAGTCTTTCAGCCTGTTGTCATTAATTAAAAATAGCCCAGCCAGAGCAGCGCTTTGCAAAGGATGTTTTTGCAAAATAGCCATTCCATGCCAAAGACATAGTTTTTACGCCCAGAACTCACGTCTGTGCCCTGATGCATTTGAGAAATGCTAGATTTTAAATAAAGCCATACTTGTTCTTCACAGTGCAGAACTGAGAACGTCTCATATGCTAAGATGTTTTATCCATCTTTAAGAAGGGGATTGTGTATGTAGTGTTTTCCAAGCTGAAATTTTTTTTCTCATAATGTTACAGATTCAGAGAAACACTGTTTCATGCTTGGCCAAGACTTTACCTCCTAAACTGGGCACAGTGGCACACACCCAGATTCTCAGCTCCTTCAGAGGCTGAAATGAGGAAACTGCTTGAGTACAGGAGTTGGAATCCAGCCTGCACAACGTTAGCTAGATTCTGTCTCCAAGGAAGGGAAAAAGACCACCCCTTTTTATTGGGTGACCTTTGTTGAGTTTTTAAGCAAATTGAAACCCAGAAGGTTGCTTGAAAAATGGAGGACTTAGAGCTGGAGATTCAAAAGGTTATTTTCCAGATTTTAAAATATGTAAGCCCAGAAGAAAAAAGTTATTTAAGGCATTATAAATACATTTTGAAATGTTTAGTAACATCCCAGGCCAGTTTGCAAAATTAGCCAAAATCAAGGTCTGTCCATTTAACCTGGTTTGTTTTGCTCCATCGCTGCAGGTTAGATTCAGGGCTCTATGCTGTGACTCCTCTAAGCATAACCATTAAGAACTTTGTAAACTAATATTGCTGCTAGTTCGACTTTGTTGTTTTAAAGTTGGATAACTCACTTGTGTGCACAGACCTTTGAACAAAACAATGAGTGGGCATGGCAAACAGAAGTTTCAATGCCAAATTCCTTCAAGCTGAAAGTGGATTTTCCAATTTCCTTTTCTCCTAGGACTCAAGGACACATATATATATAAAGTATATAAACATTAGAATGAACTGGACCAGACCAAGTGTGGTGGCCCAAGCCTGTAATCTCAGCACTTTGGGAGGCTAAAGCAGGTGGATCACCTGAGGTCAGGAGTTCAAGACTGGTCTGGCTAGGAGAAAGCCTGTCCTGACTAAAAATGCAAAAATTAGCTGGGTGTGGTAACGTAGGCCTGTAATCCCAGCTACTTGGAAAGCTGAGGCAGGAGAATCGCTTGAACCCAAGAGACAGAGGTTGCTGTGAGCCGAGATCATGCCACTGCACTCCAGCCTGGGCAGCATAGTGAGACTCTGTCTTAAAATAATAATAATAACAAAGAATGAACTGGACCAATATATTTGTGGCTTCCTGCCCAAAGATGCAAAGCCAGCCAACCCTCTAATGATTAACAACTGCAGTTAAGTGACAGCATCCTATTTTCAACTTAGCTCTTTAATTTTAGATTACTAATGACTCTAGGAGAGTGTTATCCATTGGAACCTTCTATGAGGATGGAAATGTTCTATATCTGCACTGTCCAGTACAGTAGTCACTAATCACATGTGACTACTGAGCAGTTGAAATATGACTAGTGAAACTAAGGAGCTGAATTTTAATTTTATTAATTTTTTTTGTTTGTTTAAATAGCCTCATCTAGCCAGTGCTGGGCAGCACAGCTCTAGAATAGGGTTTTTCAGATGTAGATCATGTGTAGAATGAAGCTTTGCTTCTGTTGTAAAGTAAAGGAAATGAGTTGACTTGTCAGTAGGTACCTCTGAGTGACTGAGCAATGGATAATGGTAAGAAACAGAACTTTCTGGAACTGAAGCTTTTGCCAGAGAACAAGAAAACTATGTAAATGAGGTTGTAGCACCATTGTCTTACAGACCAATAGCTAAGCAACCCTGATTCCCATCTAGATGCAGCTGCCTTGGCAGCCCAGAGCAAGTCCTCAGAAGATATCATCAAGTTTTCCAAGTTCCCAGCAGCCCAGGCACCAGACCCCAGCGAGACACCAAAGATTGAGACGGACCACTGGCCTGGTCCCCCCTCATTTGCCGCCGTAGGTATGCAACCGTCACAGCTAAACCAAAGAGACAAACTGCTAGGACAGCTCAAGATGACATGCTTAAAAACATGCAGTAAAATCTATCCTATCATGAAGATTTTAAAGAAAAGTATGACCAAGAGGTAGCATAGTAAAAAGAACTAATGTGGCATTAACTTGTGTACAAAACGCTTGAAAGTTACAAAAACACATCCACCAGAGTCTTGTTCTAACCAAACCCACTGAAATCCAGAACTGGTCTAAAACCAATGGTTTGCATGGACTCTCAGAGTTAATACTGCAAAATCAGTAACTCTGTTGAGCATAATTGAGTCAAAGCCTTACGGCAAGAACGTCGTTCTATATAATTAGAGTCTAGTGGGTGAATTTACTGAACGTTTGTAGAAGCATGACTTCTTTCAGTTAAATTTGTTTTAGACTATTTCTGGGTTGTAGTTATAATTCTTAACAACCAATCTTAACACTGAAGCACTTTCATTTTTCTTTCGAGATCTTGTTCTCCATCATGAAAAAGAGCTATTGCAGAGAAGTAGGTGTTCTGAAATATTATCTATGTGAAGTTGTGTGATTTTACATCTACCATCTTCATGAATTCTGTGCTAAAATGTCATATTTCAGCTGTTCCATTCTTTGCTTTATGCTTTCCAATTATGTCTCTGTCTTTAGTATATTCTCAGTAGTGAACTCACTTGGCCTAAAAAGAAGTATTAGCAAACCCAGAAGCTAATACTGAAAATTGAGTGAGTCAGCTTTACAAAGATAGGATCTTATTACATTTTTGCTGACAGCCTAAAAGGCCTTCAATTTTCCAAAACGTTCTCATCTTCATTGTGTTATTTTTTTATCAAGTTATTTTTGGAATATCTTTCACAGCAGTACATGTGGATTTTAAATCAACTGATATTTATAGAAAGAATTTAAGGAAAATCTACCTCCTAACTTTATTATTCGCAAGTGTTCTATACATTGTGTTAATGAAATTTATCTAGTCCTTGCAAACTTGTGTCTGTTGAGTTCCATTAGTGTAAACTAAAGAGAGAAACTTCACATTGACATTTGTAATTGCAAGGACTAAGAACCAGTCATCAGTTTTTCTGTGCCAATCCATGCCCTCCAGGAAGTTCTTGAGGCCTCTAGGGTGTTAGTTTAGCAAATTCCTTACTGGGGACATTAAAGCAGCTAAATTTTGGAAAGAGGAAGAATTAAGTTTTTGTCATTGAATTTATTACCACTAATAGTTTAAAGCTCTTTCGGATTCCAAAAGGAAAATGCTGAAAACTAAGACTATTAGTTAAAGTTTATTTTGATTAGATTAGCAAACTTTCCTGTTTCCTCCCACAGCCAGAGTAATCCAAGCAATTTAGGAAAAACAATAATTATCTTAACTTCCCAACCATTCAGACAGATTCCTCCTTTTCTTTCTCTGTCTCCCCTTTTCCAGAAAGCTAAAAAAAAATTGCATACAATTTACTATATTGCTCCAAAGTAACATGGTAGACGTATTAATGCTTTTTATTTATCTAATAGTATAAAACTCTTTTGTGACCATTTATCAAAGGATGAGAAAAAGAAAACTTTAGAGACCCATTTCTTGAAATAAATAGTAAAAGTATGCTTTCTATTGAATTTACTAGTCATAGAAGACAGAGTGATAGTACCATAAAATTGTAAATATTCAGAAAAAGAGAAAACTACAAGATTTGAACACAAAACAATGATATCTTACTTATCTCTTGGTATGTAGATAAATTTGCATTTCTTTCTGTTTGAAAATTGAGGCTGGGCGTGGTGGCTCACACCTGTAATCCCAGCATTTGGGGAGGTCAAGGCAGGAAGATTAGTTGACCTCTGGAGTTGGAGATCAGCCTGGGCAATATAGAGAGACCATATGTCTGTAAAAAATATTTAAAAATCAGTAGAGTGTGGTGGCAGACACCTGTGGTCCCAGCTATCCAGGTGGGTGAGGTGGGAGGATTGCCTAAGCCTGGAGGTGGAGGCTGCAGTGAGCCATTATTGTATTACTGTACTCCAGCCTGGGCAACAGAGTGAAACCTTGTCTCAAAAAAGAAAGGAAAAGAAATTGACATGAAAGACATCAAAATAACAACTGGAGATGCCCTTCCCATTTACTAACATGGACTTAGACGCAATTGCAGCAGCAAACACAGTTCTAATTGAGCAGGCTCCTTGGGAGGCCAAAATTCAGGCCTTCCTTGCATCAGACATTGACCTGGCTTGCCACACGGGGCCCTTTTCTTGAGAAACCAGTGGGTAGTGCTGAATTGGTGGCGGGCATTTTTTTTTCTTTTGTTATTTACTTAAAAGTGTTAAAGACCACTGCTGACCTTGCCAGCTTAACAAATTGAACACAGTTGGACTAGCCCGTTAAGATTCCCTTGTCTTGGGGCTGATGTGAGAAGTTGTCTTTGCTGTGGAATTAGGACCTGACATGAGACGCAGATCTAGTGGCAGAGAGGAAGATGATGAGGAACTTCTGAGACGCCGGCAGCTTCAAGAAGAGCAATTAATGAAGGTTTGTCTTAAACTACCTTGCGGTTGTCTTCAATTCCAGTCACATAAGGCCTATATTTTTTGAATGACTGCTACGTACAAATCACCTAGATAGGCAAGAAGTGGTCCGGTCTTCAAGGGGCTTGTAGTCTGGTAGGCAAGACAAGACAGGTGTCTATTAATGGTAACTAGAATATGACAGAATACGTGCTGGGCTCTAGAGGAGATGGCACTGATGCTGGAGGTCAGAGGGAAGTGGAAGGCTTGGGATTTTGTGGGAAGGAAAGTGAGACCGCATGGGGCTGTGTACAGTGCGCGTGTTGGAAAGCTGCTGGAGAGCCAAGTAGAGCAACGTGGTGTCCACCTAGGCTCTGCTGAAGGAATGATTGTGGGATTGAGCATTGCTCCAAGTCTTTTCCCAGGATATGGGCCAGGAGAAAAGGAATGAAAGGAACTGCCAGCATGAAGGGCTCCTCCTTTCTATAGCAAGGGCCTGCAGCATCCCAGAAGGACAGTTAGTTATAAACTCTCCTACCAATCAGGAGGCTACTGAATCCTTGGAAATGATGTTTACTAAGCACATAGGAAATGCACATGATTATTAGTCAAAAGATTCAAAGTTGCATTTATAGTATGATCTCAGTTTTATATGTATGTATACAAAAATACTAGATAGATACAAATCAAAAGATAAGCATGCTATTTATGAGTGACCTATCATGGGTTACTCTTCTTTTCTTCTAGATTTTCCAAAATCTGTAAAATGAGCATGTATTACCTTTATTTCTTGTTTTTAAACAAATCAAGACAACTTCTTTTTAAAGAATACCACCCCCAGTCTCCCCTTTCCACCTCAAAAGTCCACACACACTCACACATGCCTTCTGAGGTCTCCTGGCTCTTTAGGGAGGGCAGAGGAAGGAAAACATTCTTCTAACATAGAGCCTGACCTAGGGAAATGGAGCTTTGAAACTGAAAGGGTTAAGGGGGTCTAGTGCCCCAAACTTGACCTACCTCTTCAGGAGCCACCAGCCTCTGGGAACACTTGCATTCAGGCCCTCCAGCCTGAGGAACTTCTTGTGGGATCTGCTAAAAAGAAACTGCAGTTCAATGAAGGTAATTGCAGGCTTTGCTTTTTTTTTTTTTTTTTTCTTTTTTCTGTGAATAGCTTAACTCAGGCCTGGGACAGTTGATATTGAAAGAAGAGATGGAGAAAGAGAGCCGAGAAAGGTCATCTCTGTTAGCCAGTCGCTATGATTCACCCATCAACTCAGGTGAGCAACAAATCCCCCAACCTTCCCTGATTTGAGAGCCAGCCACCTGCCTGCAAGGAAGCCACCTTGACTGTTCATTTGTGGTGGAACCTACAGAGTATTCCCTGGGAAAGGAAGTATGGGAAACCCACTCTGTGTCTTCTAGAAATGGGGGAGCCCTTGGAGGTTCTCACGATCCATGAACGCCAATCCCCATGTACTAGGTTTGTCTTCTAGAACACTCATCCCCAAGGGAAGCAGCAAGAGGAAATCCTCTAAAAAACATGATGCTTTTTTTTTTCTTTTAAGAGAACATGAACAAGACATTTTCTAAGCGTTGTGATTTTATATTAATATCTTCACTGGTGCAGTGGCTCACATCTGTAATCCCAACACTTTGGGAGGCCGAGGCAGGTGGATCACCTGAGGTCAGGAGTTCAAGACCAACCTGGCCAACATGGTGACACCCCATCTCTACTAAAAATACAGAAATTATCCAGGCATAGTGGTAGGTGCCTGTAATCTCAGCTACTTGGGAGGCTGAGGCAGGAGAATCCCTCAAACCTGGGAGGCAGAGGTTGTGAGCTGAGATCGCGCCATTGCACTCCAGTCTGGGCAGCAAGAGTAAAATTCCTTCCAAAAAAAACCTTCAATACAAGAACTGAGAATGAACAGTGTTTTTGATACTTTTGAAGAAGATGACTTACATCCTGGGCTGAAATAGTCTATCAGTGTATTTTCCCCTGCCTCTATTTGTCATAAGCCAATTTTCTGTTAACCCACAAGATTTCTTCTCCTGTATTCTGAGCCAGAGCATAATTTTCTCCTCTAAGAGTTCCTTTAAAAATGCATTTAGGACCGGGCACTCTGGCTCACACCTATAACCCCAGTACTTTGGGAGGCCAAGGAGGCAGATCACTTGAGGTCAGGAGTTCGAGACCAGCCAGACCAACATGGAGAAACTCCGTCTCTACTAAAAATACAAAATTAGCTGGGGATGGCAGAACATGCCTTTGGTCCCAGCTACTCAGGAGGCCTGAGGCAGGAGAATCGCTTGAACCTGGGAGGCAGAGGTTGCGGTGAGCCAAGATCGCGCCACTGTGCTCCAGCCTGGGTAACAAGAACGAAACTCTCTCAAAAACAAAACAAAACAAAATGCATTTAATGTTCACTCCATGCAAGCACTTTTGCTAAACATTTTATTTAATGTTCACAACATGCGAATGAAGTAGATGTGGTTGTTATTAACAACTACAGCGTTTTCATCTCTATTTTATAAATCAGGAGATGGGTATAGAAATTGAGTTAACATACCCAATGTCACACTGCCAATAATTAGCAAGACTAGAATTTAGAAGTCCACATATTATAACCCCGGAGCCCACACCCTTACCTGGAATTCCTGCTACCCTTCATAGATGCCTCACTGGCATTGATCTTGGATTCGGTGGTTTACAAATCTTTAGATAGTTTCTTCTAATTCTGAGATTCTGCTCTATAAGAATGTATAACATTATACCTACGTAGATCAAGAAATGAAGAATTCGGAAAAGTTCAACACCATGTCCAGAGATACACAGGTATGGAGTTGCAGAAGCAGAATTCAAGCCCAGGGCTGCTCCCGCAAGAGCCCAGCAGCCTGTGAGGCTTCCATGCAACTGACAGATACCCTATATCAGGTGTCCCAGGAGTCCAACTGTAGTTGGCTGGTAGATCGTGGTAACGTGCAGGGTTGGCCTCCAGTTCAGTTACTGCTACTGTATCCACTGGGGCATAGGCTAATGTATTCAGATATCTCTGATTTACATCCTTGTCAGCTGTTTAGAATCTTACTAACCTTTGGCAAGATATTTTTCTTAGCCCCTATTTCTCCTTCTGTAATATGGAACTAATAATAATAGTGTTATTAGGGTTGGATTGCAGATTCAAAGAAATAAAGCATGCTGTGCACTTAGCGCCATGCCAGAGCTGTAGGAAGCCCTGCCAGCTTCAGCACCCACTCAACTGCGTGGACTCGGCCTTCCCTCCTTAATCATCTCACTGTTGACCCAATCCTTGCAAATATGGTGGCAATTTTTGAACATTTGGGCCTACTATGACTTGAATTCTTTTGGTATCTTCTATTCTGTGAGGTAGAAAAGACTGCCAATTTCATTAAAGAATTGGACTTCTGGCTGGGCGCGGTGGCTCACGCCTGTAATCCCAGCACTTTGGGAGGCTGAGGCAGGAGAATCACTTGAACTCGGGAGGTAAAGTGTGCAGTGAGCTAAGACGACACCATTGCACTCCAGCATGGGCTATAGAGCGAGACTCTGTTAAAAAAAAAAAAAAAATTGGACTTCCAAACTTCTGATTTCCTAACAATTGGTTTTTTACTTTTTTCTTTCTCAGCTTCACATATTCCATCATCTAAAACTGCATCTCTCCCTGGCTATGGAAGAAATGGGCTCCATCGGGTAAGATTTCTCCCTGATTAGTTGTTTCTTGCTTTATCCCCACCTCGGCCCTGGTTGAAGTGTTGACATATTGCCTGAATACGCCTGACTTTTGATTTCAGTATTGGAACATAATGAAAATTTTAACCTCCCTGGTTTACCTGGCAAGTTAGTTTGAGTTACAGGCAAAATAAAATATTTCTATGGAGAGAATGAGAAATTAACTTTAGATAAAGGAATGGCCTGTGTATGCTTAAGGGAAAACTATATTATAAAACTGTATGGCAAATATTTTTACAATGAAACAAAAAGTAATTATTTGAGCCATTATCTCTGCTGTAAAAAGATATAAGAATGTGTATTATAACCATCCTCCTTACAAAAGCTAGGATATAATTATGTAACTATGTAGGGAAATGCATTTTTATTTATCGGCAAGAGATCCCCGCTTACGAAGAGCCTGCTGAGCGGTGGCATTAATATACTACCAAAGACAAAGAGAGGTCGTCGCAGTAGAAGAATAATAGGGGAAAAAAATGATCAAGGTCCCGGAATTTAGCTTGGGAAGAATTCCTAGGACTTTGTAAACCCTTTCTTCCTTTTCACTTGACTCAAAAACAATCACTATGGAGATTTCCTAATAATTGTTTTTCCTCATTTCAGCCTGTTTCTACCGACTTCGCTCAGTATAACAGCTACGGAGATGTCAGCGGGGGAGTTCGAGGTGAGACTCCTATAGCCAGGCCGAGCGTGGCCACGTCTTCCCTCGAGGCTGAGGTTCATGAGAGTCAAGTATACTGGCTGTGTTCACGCTGTATTGCATCCTTAGAGTAGGCTCACATCTGTCTTCTGTGAGCTAATAGGGCAATAATTTGCATAATTTCAAAGACTAATGAAATCAAACTGTAAGAAATGAGTTCGTGAGAATTCATTCATTGCTCATACTAGGTGCTGAGCACTCTATCAGATACCTAGACACCAGGCAGGGTGGCTCACACCTGCAATCCCAACATTTTGGGAGGCTGAGACAGAAGATTATTTGAGGCCAGAAGTTCTAGGCTAGCCTGGGCAACAAAGCGAGGCCTGTCTCTACCAACAACAACAAAATATATATATAATATTCAGCTGGTGGCACATGCCTATAGTCCCAGCTACTTGGGAGGCTGAGGCAGGAGGATTGCTTAAGCCCAGGAATTTAAGGCTGCAGTGAGCTATGATCATGTCACTGCACTACAGCCTGGATGACAGAGCAAGATGCTGTCTCTTCAAAAAAAAAAAAAGGAACTAGAGGTACAACAATAAATGAGACATGGCCTCTGCCCTCAAAATACATGTGGCAGGAAGAAAGAAGGTCTGTGTGATAAACGTTATGATCAGAGATCCCAAGAGAAGGAAGCAGTAAGTACCTTTAGGTGGTCAGCAAAAGCCTCCAGGGGAAAGGATGTTTTAACTGTTAACTCACACTGGAGCAGGCATTTCCTGGCTTCAGGGAGGCTGACGGGTAACACGTGCAGAGTCTGGGAGCAGAAAGAGAACATGGTTTATAGGGAGAATATGTTGGGAATTTCAGTAGAATATAGTCTCTCTATTAATAGTTCCATGTTTTGCCATGGCCTTTTCCTTATGATATTTTCTTTTCCTTTCCTTTTCAGATTACCAGGTATGGAACACTTTGTCGTTCTTGAATTGGCCATACCAGCAGAACAGCCATTTTCCATTCCAAACTGCTGGCCCCAAGGCAGCAGTTTCTGTTGAGAAGATGCTTGCTGTGGTTGGTCTGTCTAATTATTACTCCATAGCTGTGAAGAGCAGGCATGCTTGCTGCCTGGGTCATGCTGTCCCCCGTAGGCCTTGGGGATACCACATGAGCCAAGCCAGGTCTAGGGGGACTCTCTTGCTTTGGCCTTGGAGAGTCTTCTCTGGGGTGGAAGTGGACCAGCATCAGGGGTCTGCTCATATACAGTTTTTCTTCTTTTACTTATAATCTCTCAGTGCTTTAGTCCACCTTTCTCCTGCGTGTTCTCAAATGAAAAGACACTGATGTCTTAGCCAACAGGAGAGAGCAGTTTGCTCTCATTGCAGACTTTCTCACTAAAACCTAAATCTTGTAAAACAAAACAAAACAAAACAAAAAATGTGATAGAGAATAGGAAAAGAGGAAAAATGCAGAGAAAATCAAGATTAAAGATAAGAAATTAACAGTAATAGACTTGGCCGTCTTTTAAATATACCATATACTTTAATTCATGGAGCCTAATTCAGGAATTAGTCCATAGCTATTGAGCCAAGATCTCTCCCTAACTTGATTGCAAAAGAGCTGTATTCCTGCTCTTATTCATCAAGAATCTCATTTCGAAAACTACATAGTCATCTAGATGACACAAATGAAATCGTGGTTAGGACTGGAGACCCACTAGGGAGTTGGGAGCCAAAGAGTGCTCCCTTCAGTCCCCCAGGTTACCTCATGCCCCACCTCGAACCGGCATCTCTGTTGCAGACACTTCCAGATGGCCACATGCCTGCAATGAGAATGGACCGAGGAGTGTCTATGCCCAACATGTTGGAGCCAAAGGTAAATGCAGCTGTTCTCTTTCCTCTCATATGGGAATGACATAACACCCTAAACAGATTTCATGTTCTGTCTCTTCCTCATTCTCAAACTGTTATAGGCTGGTGTGTTCTGGCGAGCCATGTCATGAATATGCACCTTGCCCGCACCAGGTCAGCAGGCTCAACCCTTACAGGGCATGGTGCTGTGTGTTCACAGTGAGGCACCAGTCCCTCTCTCCCTATGACTGAGGTGTTTCCTTGGCTTCTGCCATGTGCATTGCAGAGCATATCCAGTGTTGACAGGAGCGGGCACAGACTACTCCATGTAGGGTGACCAACGTGTCCATGTTTGCCAGAACCTTCCCTGTTTCAGCACTGAAAGCCCTGCATTTCAAGAACCTCAGTCCTGGGCACACTGGGATGCCTGGCCACCTGAGCTCCAGAACAGCCCGTTCCTTCAGAGGTGTGCGAGCGCCTGCACTCCCAGATGACCATAACCAGGGCTTATTTCAGGATGTCAGTTGCCAGAGCATTGCTTCTGGGCCTGCCTGCCCCCATGGATCCATGAGCTAGTCATGGAACAAGATCATTAACTCCAGCACAGAGGCGCCCTGCCCTATGACAGCATCGAGTAACACCTTGGCTGGGCACAGTGGCTCATGCCTGTAATCCCAGCACTTTGGAAGGCCAAGGCAGGTGGATTTGAGGAATTCAAGACCAGCCTGGGCAACATGGCAAAATCCCATCTCTACTAAAACTACAAAAAAATTGCTGGGCATGACGACATGTGCCTATAGTCCCAGCTACTCAGGAGGCTGGGGTAGGAGGATCACCTAGGCCCAGGAGATTGAGGCAGCAGTGAGTTGTGATTACACCACTGCATCCAGCCTGGGCAACGGAGCGAGACCCGGTCTCAAAAACGAAAAACAACAACAAAAACAACAAAAAAACATGTGCCTGTAATTTCCATTATCTTCTAATCTTCTTCCATTACCTTCATCCCAATACATCATAAGTTAGTGTTCTGCCACTCAATGAAGCCCTCCTAAAATTCAGTGCTACCTGAGACCCCGGTGGAAAGTTGAGAATGTCTAAGATTTTGTCCCTGTTCCCTGGAAACTGGAGCTTCCACTGGCCTGGCCTTGCGGGAGGAAGACCCATCACTCAGATTCTCTTATGGTAGTCTCTTGGAAGCTCTGTCTTGGGAGTACTACGTTTTAGGTGGATTCTGCTTGTTAATAAAATGGACTGTGGTGTTCTAGAAGAGGTGTTTTCTTTCTTCTCAGATATTTCCATATGAAATGCTCATGGTGACCAACAGAGGGCGAAACAAAATCCTAAGAGAGGTGGACAGAACCAGGCTGGAGGTAAAACAAAACAGGAAAATATGGTCCCAACTGCAGATCCCTATGCAATTCCCCCAACTCTCCCCTAAGCAATGTTTTATTTCTTCAGCGAAAAAAAAGCAAAAAAGTCACCCTCATGTCACAGGTAGAACTAAGAAGTAACTTTGGGGAAAAAAAATGCAGGTTTACACTTAGATCAGCATAAAAATGCCTGGTAATATCCAGAAGAATGACCCAGAAGGTGGGCGCAGTGGCTCACACCCATAACCCTAACACTTTGGAAGGCCAAGGTGGGCAGATCACTTGTGGTCAGGAGTTTGAGACCAGCCTGGCCAACATGGTGAAACCCTGTCTCTACTAAAAATTTAAAAACTAGCTGGGCGTGGTGGCAGGTGCCTGTAGTCCCACCTACTCAGGAGGCTGAGGTAGGAGAATTGCTTGAATTCAGGAGGCAGAGGTTGCAGTGAGCCGAGATCACACCTCTGCACTTCAGCCTGGGCAATAGAGCCCAACTCCATCTCAAAAAAAAAAAAAAAAAAAGAAAAGAAAAAGAAAAAGAAAAAAGAAGAATGACCCAGGAGACACAGAATGACCTCAGTCATTTTCTTTGAAACTTCATGTTGCTATAATTACGGCTAGTGATACAGAATGGGAATCTCTATTTCTCTTGAGATATTCTCAGATCCTTATCTTCCCTAAGTTGGGGTTAAGTTCATGGGAGCCTGTGGGAGCAGGAAAGGCTCTCAGAAGAGAGATTTATACTGGACAAGTTTCTTTCTTGTCTGTTTCCACATTCCTTGTTGGAGGGTTATCTGGGTACACATACCCAAGATCTCCTTAGACATGGAAGACTAATCTTTGTATTATAATTTTCCATCCCAATGATTTTAATTAAGAAAAACGTTGGCTGCCAGTCTCAGAAGGAATGATTACTTCTTCCTGACAAAAGGCAGTACCTTGGCATAAAGGTCAGGCTGGCACAGAGAATAAAGGCTCCAGGATCTTGGGGGAACTTTCTAAGGGGGATGACAGATGGGAAGTCTTCTCAGTAGAATAGGCATCTACCTTACCTCCTATTCCTCAGCCAGGAGGAAGCCCTGGGACTCCCCAGGGACCATGCTGGAGGTCATTTTCTTTGGCTTTCTATTGTGATAGTCCATTTTCCCTGCACCTTTTCAATATTCCGAGGACCTGGAGTGGAGTTGTCTCTAACGTCATAAATCGTCTCTGTGTCCCATCACCAGTCAGTGTTATTATTATAATCCCCACTGACACTCTGCCAGCCCTTTTATCCTCACCTGGCCTGACCTGGTGAGGAATACTGACGTCACAAGCATCAGAGATAGGCTCCTTCCATCTTCCTGCCTTGTTTATCAGAATGACTCTTCATATAAACCATAGAGCAACTCCCAAGGTCATTCGTGTGGCCATCAGGACTGACAGCTGCTCTTTTTTTTCCTCTTCTCAGCGCCACTTAGCCCCTGAAGTGTTTCGGGAAATCTTTGGAATGTCCATACAGGAGTTTGACAAGTTACCTCTTTGGAGACGCAACGACATGAAGAAAAAAGCAAAACTCTTCTAAGTTCCAACTCTAAAGGACTGACCTGACCGTGGCAGTACCCCAGAGGATGTCATATTGAGGCCCAAACTCAATTGGAGAATTTGCAAGCTATCATCGCTCAGCAATACCAAAAAGAGAAAGTCTGGTTAAAACACCCATGAGTCCAACATCAGAACAGCCAAGAGTAATACTTGCCAAGAAGCATGGGGTAGAAACTTCTGTGTTCCGAAACACAGAGTAGTGCCCACATGTGACCTTTTCACATGACCTTATGTACACAACAGGAGCTGCGTTGTTTTCTTCTTTTGTTTTCCTCTACCTGTTCTCCAACAGTAGTGCTGACTGTACGGATAAGAGCCAGCAAGTGCCCTTAGGATGCCACATGGGAAAAATCGGTTGTCATAATTTCAAAGTATAAATATATTTATTGTGTAGCGCTGTGGCTAAGAAGGAAGAGTGAGGGGTCTGTTCATGTGGCGGCAGTGATTTCACAGCCACCTTTCTTGACTGGCGTCATGTTGCTTCACCTGCGCTCTGGCAGGTGAACAGGGCAGGTCAGGGAACAGGGCAGCTCTGTTTGGGGTGAATAACAGCAAAATTAATTCTTAACAAGCTCCTTGTTCTCTACCGTTTGCCGGGACCTGGTTGACAAATGACTTACCTATTAGTATATTTAAAAAAACTGTTCAAAAGCAAAAGAGAAGGAACAGGAATGAAAGGGAACCTTCTCTTAACTCTTTCTGCTTCCCATAGCGAGCCTGGTTTCTGGTTTCCGCCGAAGACAGGAGCTGTCTCGAGCTCCACCTTTGCAAGGAAAGGAAAAACACAAATTGCCTCCAGATTGGCTCAGTGGCATGCCATTAGGTGATTTTGCCCAGAAGCCATATCACTCTTGGCAAAAAAAAAAAAAAAAAAAAAAAAAAAGCCCCATGTTCTACTGACTCCAGCCCTTCCACCATTGCCCTCTGCTGTCTCTCTGGCATCCTATGAATCAGATCAAGCCCATGCTGTTGGTTTTTAAGGTTTCTTTCAGTAATAGGCTAAGGAAAGACATGTTTTTCTCTTTGAAATCTCTGCAACTCCAAAGTAGACTCGCTTAAACAGATTTAATTTGGCCTTTTCGGCTTTTTTCTTGCCTAGCTCTGTTGACTTCATGCGTGTGTGTGTGCATGTTGGTTTCACTCACTCAGAGTAATTTTGTGAGTCTGCATGTGCTTTTTAATTTCTACTCGAATGTTTGTCCCACGGTGTTGCAGCTTCTAAAGACATTTTCACCAAGTGTATGTGACTCAAGATCAAGAGTGAGGCTAAACTGCGCCCCCAACATCACTTCCTTCATGGAAAGGTGTTGGTGCTGATGTAGCTCATAACAGGATCGAGGAAGGATGAGGCGGGATATGGAGGTCAGAGCATCTCGCGAGAGCACCTCAGACTCTGCAACGCTAGATTGAAATTTAAGCCTAGGATTTCACCAACACATGTGTGCAAACAAAACCACATCATGATTCCCTATGTGAATTAGATGAGGGAGAGTGTGTGTAACTCCACACCCAGGAGGTTAAGTCATATTTATTATCGTGCTTTGGGGCTCTGCTTAAGAATTTAAGCTCTGTTTTAAAGCCCAAGAAGAAAGCATTTGAATTTGCCTTCATATGCCGGTGAGAACAAAAGCTCTGAAGTCCTTCCTGTTGGCACCAAGTATTAGGCTTACAAGCTATCTCTCTGACACCAGTGGTAAAGGAGCAAGTAGGATAGTTTCTGAGTCTGTGTTGCAGCCTCTGATATGTGGCTCACTGCCATCATTTGGGGGCTGGAATGAACACTGTCACTGTTTTGTAGCATCCTCCTGTGCTCTTACTGAAGGAATCTAAATTGTCCTAGCCTTTCAGTGCTAGGCACTGAATATTTGAGGACTGTTCTGTGTGTGTGTGTGTGTGTGTGTGTGTGTGTGTGTGTGTGTGTGTGTGTGT